ATGGAGAGAGAGAGGAAGAGCGAGAGAAAGAGAGAGAGAGAGAGAGAGAGAGAGAGAGAGAGAGAGAGAGAGAGATAGAGAGAGAGAGAGAGAGATAGAGAGAGAGAGAGAGAGAGAGAGAGAGAGCGAGAGAGAGAGAGAGAGAGAGAGAGAGAGAGAGAGAGAGAGAGAGATGAGAGAGAGAGAGAGAGGGAGGAGAGAGGGAGAGAGAGAGAGAGAAAAGAAAGACTGGAGGAAAGGGATAAGGACGGGAGGAGAGAAAAGAGAGACAGAAAAGGAAAACTAGAAAGGGTAAAATGAGAGAGGGTAATGGGTAAATCAGTGAGAGGGAGCGAGAGAGAAAACATTTAGTTGTGTCAGCTTGTTTCGTATGTAAAATGTAAATTTGCTTTCCATCATTTCAGCTTCGGATTGGAAATTAAATCTTAGCATCCTTATGATAAACCCACGCTGATGGGATGGGGACGTTTTTATGGTCGTCGTTGGGAGCTCGGCACTAATGAGGATGATGTTGAGGGTTTCGCAAATATTTCATAAAAGAGATATTTTTTTTGCATCACCTAATAAACATTTTTTTACGTTTGCTATGAAAATGTTAGGCCCAGTTCCTTCAAGATCAGGTCCACGACTCCACAGCTTACAACAGGAGCTAGCTAACATAACAATTCACCCGCGCCGTGTTGGTGGCATGAACTTTCCGTCGAGTGCTGGGGGGAGGGGGGTTTCACGCCCCTCCGTCTAACTCGGCTCCTGGGCCACGTAGCGACGCGGGGTAAGCGGCAATCGATAGAGCGTCAAAAATAAGAAGGAAAACACTCGGTCATTTTAAGGTCAGGACAAAGGTCAGGTCACCAGAGCTCATCAAAGGTCAAATTTTGTCGATTTCAACGATTTTAAACATCCGACGGCTAACTCTGGAACCAATAGAGCTACAGCGCCGTGGAAAAGCGCATTCGATAGCTCTTTTAACGCTCTTTCGCCAACATGTCCTCAAATTTGACCTCAGGTCAACGGTTTAGCCCCCAGAGGGCACCGCTCTGATTGACCTCAAATTTGACCTCAGATCAACGGATCAACGGTCAGATCAGCGGTGAAAACACGGCCCCCGTGTTTTCACCGCTCTAGCACGTCTCTGTCAAATCAAAAGTTATAATAAAAAACTGCTGAAGACCTTTCATGACCTGAGATGACCTCAGGCACACAAAAAGGGGCACAGGTGCAATTTTCCGATTCAGAGTGTCATGTTTACATATGAACCGATGTTTGAGAGGGTGTAGAACGACATTCGGCCAAAAGAGGCTCATTTCAATTTTCTCCCATTGACTTATATGGAGCAGTCGCAAAATTGACCAGACCTTAGGTCACAACTCACAGATATAAAAAAAAAATCCGAGATATCCATTTTATACATACTGTTACCCTAAGCAAGTACTGAAAGTTTCAAAGTGATCGCTCAGTCGGTGTAGCTACAGCGAGCTTTCTAACTTTTTCTGAGGTAAGGTCACTTGACGTTACATGGTGACCTGACCTTGAATGACCGGGATCTGAAATTTTAATAGCATGTGCGAAAAAGATGTCGGAACGGGTGTATCTAAAACAGCGGCGCTACGCGTCGCCGTTTTTGAGATATTCGCGAAAAACCTAGGGGACGTAAAAACGCCCCCCCCCCAGGACGGCGCGGATCAAACGGCCCCTGAGTCCTCGGGATGGTGCCCCTGAGACCTTAGGATGGTGCCCCTGAGACTTCGAGATGGTGCCCCCTCAGACCCGGGAGAGTGCTCCTTCAGACCTCGGATTTCGGAAAAGTGCCCCTGGAAACTTGGAATGATGCCCCGGAGACCTCGGGATGGTGCCCCCAGACCTCGCGATGGTGCCGCCGGAGACCTTGGGATGGCGCCCCGGACCCTCGAGATGGTGCCCTCTCCGACCTTGGGATGGTGCCTGCGGAGAACTCGGGATAGTGCCCCCTGAGAACTCGAGACGGTGCCCCCGCGGACGTCGGGATGGAAATAGATGGACAATATTGAACTAAAAACTAAAAAACTCAACTCAACTAAAAAAAAAACGAAGTGAGGGACAGAAATGGGCCTCCGGGAGACCCCGAAAACGGTACCCTATTCCGATAGACCTTCTGGATGGTGCCCCCTTAGGAGACCTCTGGGTTAAAGCTCCCGTCGGTGACCTCCGTGATGAATTAAAAAAAGCTTCGTGATGGGCCCCCGGGAGGCCCAAGGGGAGGGGGAGAGTGGCCCCATGCCCTCCCTCTGGATCCGCCACTGAAATGATCTGACCCAAGATCTTACCTAAAACGACCAAAAGCCTTCCTTCATTGTCCGGAAACCGCTGACAGTTGATAGCTCCATGACACTAGAGCCGTGCATAAGGAGGCGTGAAAACACTCCTCATCTCGATCTTTTACGAGAGGACCATGTCATGGCGTGGGAAAGGTGTTCTAAAAATAGATGACACTGTATGAATGAGTAAATAATTCGCGCCCCGTTGGGCTATTTATTGGCGGACCCTACCACCTGATGAGTGATGGGGTGGTGCAGCCGTTTCGTCCTCCACCTGAGATCTCGGAAAGTTACCGACCGATTTTGAAAATTCGAAGAACGTTCGATAGCCCCACCAGGGGCTATCGAACCTTGTCACCAGGTTTCGTTGATCTAGGTGCAACCCATGACGTCACAAGTCCGGTCAAAGGCTGCATTTTTTCACCGATTTAGTCTAAGGAATGCGTAAGCGTTACAATCCGTTAACACATCAAATAAAAGGCGCATCACATCAAATAAATATCGAAAAACATCGATGGAGCGTGGTTGCCCAATACATATGTTGCCTAAAGAGGTCACTGATGCCAGGTCAGGTCAAAGAGGTCAGGTCACTAAGGGTCACAATATGAACCCAACTATGCTAATTGCTAGGGTCGCGTGATACATGTTTTATGGTCAATTTTACAATTGATTTTCAATGGTGTGGGCTAGACGGCCATTGGGGCCGGTTTAGATTACGTTCTGGTGGAGGTCAGGTCAAGGTCAGGTCAAAAAAGGTTAAATTGCAGAGTTGATATTTTGCATAAAAGGGGTATCTATTCGATGCAGCTCATCACGGGAAATCCAATGATGGTCTTTGGCTTACTCTGTGTGTTCTGTGACGGCTAAAAATTGAGTTTGAAATTTTTACGTAATACATTTTGAGTAGTGTTTTTTTTTGCCAAAACTTTGCTAAAAATGGAGCTGTCGAGTTTAAGTTTGGCATATCTAGAGCAGATAGTTCTATAACATATATTCCAGCTTTAATTTTGAATGTTGTTGGTATTTTCGGGGTGTTATAGTTCTGTAGTTTTGATGGTCGAAATCAATTTTTGTTTAGAAATCAGAGTTGGCAGTTTTGTAGCGCTGTTTATTTTACATCTTTTTATCTTGAATACCTATTTTTTGTTATCTTCAAAACTGTAAGCGTGACAGCTCTTCCCGCTAAACCTTTTATTGGGTCGAAAATGACAGCACATGACGTCACTCTGACGTCATTTGTGACTAACCTTTCATAAGAGCTCTGGAAAAATTTGGTCACAAGGTGTAAAATGATGCCCGGAGGGGTCTTGAAAGTTTGGTGGCGACCTACGCTATACTTTAGGAGACATCGACTGAAAAGGAGAGGGGGCTGTTTCGCGCCCCCGTCCCCTCAACGGGGCTCGAGGCTTTCAGTTGTTGCTCTCACATAACTCTTGGTTATATTACCACGTAGTGGAATTGCAAGCTTGGCAATATAAGCTTCCTGCCAGCTCCGGACCCGAGTTTAAGCAGGCTGAATTTTAACATTTGACTTTAAATTTTTACCGTTGAGCTTTTTAGAAGTTGTATGAACTGTTCAGCTCCTTTTTTGGTCCATCACAGCGGGCTTGTATGTCATTTGTCAATCAAAACCGAATTAAAAACTTTTTATTAGGTCTGGTTATCTCGCCAACTTCTTAACTGAATCGTTTGGTAGCTTTTGATTGGGCACTGCCCACGTTATCTGTCAAACTTTTCGTATAAACGAGAAGAGGCTGCTGACATCGTTTGTCGCGGTTAGATAATACCAATCCACGTCTCAGTGTGGCTGCTCGATCGCACTTTCCCTGGCCCACCTCTCCTACCAGGCTAGGCTTTGCCCGGCACAGCCGTCGCCTCAGTGCCTCGGGCGGTGACCCGTTCAAAGGGGCTCACAATTCGTATGGTGCCGTGGCTCTCAAACCAACACAGAACAGTGAAACGCTTAGGCTTACCTTCCATATAAGGCGAACGGCTGATTCTGGCGCCGGGGCTTCATTCATGCTAAAGCGCCCAATCACAGCGCCGCATTTCAGTTAGTGTCGGGCGCAAAAGCTACTATGCTCCGCCCCTCCATCACGTGACCCTGCCCTCACGTGGCCTCAGTCACGTGGTGTTTCCACTTCTTGGCGCATGGCGGCGCTAGTCTCGCAAGGGCGGTGGTAGCTTGCTCCCCCGCCGTCCGGGGGTGATGGGTAGCAAGTGCTGGTGACTGTACCTGTTCATTATACCTATGTGTTATACCTACATACATAAATATATATTGCATGCATAAACGTATAAATACATACAGATACATTTACTCAGATACACACCATGAGCAATCACGTGACGTCTGACCTGTATCGTCGGCCTTGAGCCTGACCCGGCCCAGGGCGGCCTTCACTTGTGACGTCATAGTAAACAGGTTCACCAGGTGTTTTAGCACGTCCACCAGCTGAAAAAAAAAGCCGCCCGGCGGATACACAGAATGATCACTGCAAGTGCAGTCTGCATGTGCGCACGTGCACTGTGTAATGCAAGACCGTGGCAAGACTAGGTAATCGTAGCACACGGAAATGAATCGCCCGCCTGTAAGCCAGGTTTCGATGTTGCCCAGTATCCCCACTATCTACGTGTGATGACGATCATATATGTCTTACAGACCGTACCGTATGAAAAGTCCGTCCGTTTGCAAAGGGCCTGGCCCAGTCAGGCCGTTTGAAGGCGGCCTGAAAACATTAGCCGTTTGCAAACCGCCTGAAATATGAGCCCGTTTGGAAACGGCCTAGGCAGTTTGGAAACGGCCTAGTCAGATTTCAAACGGCCTGGCGAAGTACAACTATCTCAGAAGATATCTTAATGGATCCAGATTGGTCGATGATCGGGTTTGCGGAAGGACTTGTCTACGTCGAATGTTTTCTACCTTTGCCATACGGCCTAGCCCTAGGCGATTTCCAAACGGCCTGGAATTTCAGGCAGCTTGCAAACAGCCTGGAACTTCAGACCATTTTCAAAGGGCCTGACTTTTCAGTCCGTTTGCAAACTGACTGGGCAGCCCAGGCCGCTTGCAAACGGTCTGACTTGAGCCAGGCCGTTTGCAAACGGACGGAATTTTCATACGGCCTGTAACATATGTACGGCTCTCGCGAGGTTAAGCGGTAGGCTTTGCACTTTTACATTTCCGGTTATATCTCAGAAACTAATCGTTCTACGATGAAGCCCTTTTACACGATCATGGCCGGCTTGTGAGCCAATAAGTCGATCGCATCTTCAATAGCCTGAAGTACATACACTAAATTTTCTAGGTGCAAAACCTACCGCTAAAACCCGCAAGACCTACGAAAAAAATTGAGTTTGTGATTGAAAGGACGGCGCTGTCTGACGCATGTAGACTAGAGCGCTCGAACGGTTGCCGAGATATGAAGCTGCGAAGTGTCGCGTTGCCGCTCCTACCGATATTCCGCCTCAAACTGCTGACTGCAGACCTTACCTCAGCTTCTTCTGCTGCGTCGTCCGTCACCTCAGAGTCACGTGACCGGCTCAGTGGGCTGTCCACGGCATCACGTGACCGGCTGGCTGAACCGTCTGCGGTGTCACGTGACCGGCTCAGCGGCCCGTCGGCGGTGTCACGTGACCGGCCGTCCCTGCGGCCCAGCGGCGGGTCAGCGGTGGTCAGCGGGCCTCAGCTCCAGGCTGCGGCAGCGCGGTCGGGCCGCGCCAAGGCCCGATTCGAGTATACCGGCCGCGACCACACTGCACTGGCGCTGAGAAACTCCGCGAGTCGTTCCGCTGAGCATCGTTTGTGGCAGGTGACTCAAAATGAGCTAAACCTCAGCCTGGAGCCAGCTCCACTCTAGCCGGTACATTGCTTTACCATACAGAAAAACAAAAACGGACGACTTTAAATGATACATTTTGGTGAAAGGATGAAGGGAAATACAAGGATCAAACAATCCACTCATGGCCTATTATCCATCCATGATTAACCTGCGCCCCGCTGGGGGTCCTGGTTTTCCACGCCCTGCTGGGAGGAGGGGTTGAATCCCCCTTCTAACTCAGCTCCTGGGCCACGTAGCGATACGCGGAAGGCGGCGCTCGAAAGAGCGCCAAAAATAATGATGAAAACACTTCGGTGACTTATTTGATCAGGTCACTAGAGATCATTGAAGGCAAAATTTCGCCGATTTCAAGTCAAATGTTGACAATTTCTAAGAAGCGACTAGCCAGCGCATAACTCAGAAACCAATACAGCAACAACGCCGCGGAAAAGCTCATTTGTAGCCCTACCCGCGCCGGGCCGGGGGGGGGGGGGGTTGAACACCCCCACTGTGGTTTTTCGCAGATACCTCAAAAAACGGCGGCGGCGGCAAAAAACCGCCGTTTTTGGCCCAACTGTTTGTGCATCTTTTGCGCACATGTTGTGAAAATTTTAGACCCAGGTCACCTTAGGTCAGGTCACCAGGTCACGCCAAGTGACCTCACCTCAGAAAAAAATAAGAACGCTCGTCATAGCTACACCGACTGAACGATTGCCTTGAAACTTTTAGTGATTGATAAGAGCAACACTATCTATAAAATGTTTATCTTGGAATTTTGATATCGGTGACCTAAGGTCAGGTCAATTTGCGGCCTCTCCATTATAAGTCAATGGGAGAAAATTGAAAAGCGTCTGTTTCGCACGAACGCTATTCTAGACACTCTCAAACATCGAGATGTAAGTCAAACTGACACACTGAATCGGAAAATGGCAACTGTGACCCCTCGTTATGTCCCCGAGGTCATCTAAGGTCACGAACAAAATCTAACAGTTTTTCGCTAATAACTTCTGATAGAGGCGTGCTAGAGCGCTGCAAACGCCTTAGATGTGTTCGGCTCGACGTTGCGGATTGACTGATATGCAACATGACCTTTTCCGGTCAGGTCATGACCTTGACCTGAGGTCAAATTTTCAAGTTGATCTTTCAAGGTCAAATTATAGTTCATTCGACGCGTCTCGACGAGAGGAACACGATGCTGGCAAACGTAATGTCATGACTCTTTTGAGTCAAAAGTTATTGCCGAAAAATAACACGTTTCGTAAAAACGGCTATTTTTGGAGTTTTTGCCCTCTGGAGGCTAAACCGTTGACCTGAGGTCAAATCTGACAACATTTTCAGAAAGGTCTGTAGAAGGGCTATCGAATGCGTTTTTTTCGCGGCGCTCTAGCTTTATCGGTTCCTGAGATAGCCGTTGGCAGTTTCCAAAATGTTGAAATAGTCAACATTTTACCTTTGGTGACCTCTAGTGACCTGACCTTTGACCTTACCTAAGAAATGACAAAAGTATTTTCGTCATTATTTTGGACGTTCTTTCGATTGTTGCTTACTGCATGTCGATACGTGGCCCAGGAGCAGCCGAGTTAGAAGGGGGGGGGGGGTGTTCACACGACCCCGTCCCGGTGCGAAATCACAGGGCACCGGCCCGGCGCGGGTTATCCCGCGCCCCGTAGGGCTACCGGCGGACCCTACCACCCGTAGGGGGGGGGGGCGTTTCGGCCCCCCCTAACATATCGGAAATTTACCAGCCGATTTTCAAAATTCAAACGGCGTTCGATAACCCCACAGCGGAACTACCTTGTGACAAAATTTCATTGGCCTAGGTCAAACCGATGACGTCACAGGTCAGGTCAAAGGTCAGATTTTCACCGCTCACAGGCATTTCAAGAAATGTGCTGTGAAATCGAGTAAATTGGTAAGTTATTGAAAACCATGGATGGTACATTGTTCGTCAAACACATATTTCGCTATCTGAGGTCACTGACACCAGGTCAGGTCACAGAGGTCAGGTCACTAGGGGGCACAATATGAAAGTGTTGTGTGATACATGTTTTATGGTCCATTTTATATGACAAATGCGATTATGTGGGTCAGGCAGCCTTTGTGACCAGCTTAGGTCACGTTTTGGTGAGGGTCAGGTCAAGGTCAGGTCAAATTAGGTCTAATTTCAAAGTTGATATTTTGAATAAAAGTGGTATCCATTCGATGCAACTCGTCACGGGAAGTCCAATGGTGGTCTTTGTTTTGCTCTACGTGGTCTAGAATTGCCAAAAATTGAGTTTGAAATTTGACGTCATCATTTTTAAACAGGTTTTTCGCTATTACTTGGCCAAAAAACGAGATATCGATCTGAAATTCGGTATGTAGATAGAGGATGGTAGGTGCTATCACATGTATACCGATTTTTTTCGAAACTCAAAAACTTTTTGGATTTGTTGTCAAATATATAAAAAATGCATTTTTGATTTGTGGGGGTCAAAACTCAAAAATTTCAAAAACCCAAGACTGTAGTTTTGTAGCCCTGTCAATTCTACACCTTTTATGTCTCGATCATTTTTCTGTATCTTCAAAGCTGTAGGTCTGACTGATCTTCTTGCGAAGGTCTTTTTTCGGTCGAAAATGGCAGAACATGACGTCGTTCTGACGTCATTTGTGGCCAACCTATTATAGCCTCTGGAACAAGTTTCTGTCACAATGTGTAAAATTGATGCCCAGAGAGGTCCTGAAAGTTTGGTGGCGATACCTGCAGCCGTTTAGGAGATATTGACGGAAAAGGACAGGGGGCTGTTTCGACCCCGGGGGGTCCCCCCGGGGGGCGCGGGTTAACCCGCGCCTGGCTGGGGTCCTGGATTTCCACGCCCTGCTGGGGGGTGCTTGAACACCCCCCCCCCTTTGTAACTCAGCTCCTGGGCCACGTAGCGATACGCGGATGGCGGCGTTCAAAAAAGCGTTAAAAAAGGAGGAAATCGCTTCGTTCACTTTTTTTGGTCAGGTCAAAGGTCGGGTCACCAGAGGTCATTGACGGCCAAAATCCGCCGATTTGTAGGTCAGATGTCGACAATTTTCAACAAATCGACGCACAGCCCGGCAACCAATAAAGCTACAGCGCCGCGGGAAAGCTCATTTGATAGCCCTATTAACGCTTTTTCTGAGTGATTCTCTCAGCTTTGACCTACCGTCAACGGTTTTGCCTGCAGGGGGCAAAAACTGCAAAAATAGCCGATCTTTTCGGAATCAGTTTTTCTGCATTACCTTCTGACTCAAACCTTGCACTAACTTTCTTTTACCAGCATCGTGTTCCTCTCGTCAAGACGCGTCGAATGAATTATCAATTGACCTTGAAAGGTCAACTTGAAAGTTTGACCTCAGTCAAGGTCATGACCTGACCGGTAAGAGTCAAGCTTCATACCAGTTGATCCATATCGTCGAGTCAAATACAATAAAGGTGTTTTCATCGCTCTAGCATGCCTCTATCAAAAGCTACTCAAGAAAAACAGTCAGATACCATTGGTGGCCTAAGATGACCTCAGGGGCATACAAAGGGGTCACGGGTGCCATTTTCATACTCAGTGTGTCAAAGATTCAGTAATTCAGTATTTTAGAGTGTTATAATGACCTTCGTCTAATAAAGGCGACTTTCAATTTCCTCCCATTGACTTACAATGGGGAGGTCGCAAAATTGACCTAACCTTAGGTCATCGATATAAAAATTCCAAGATTAACATTTTGCACATAACGTCGCTCTTATCAATTTCTGAAAGTTTTAAAGCGATCGGTCACTCGGTTTAGCTTTGGCAGACATTGAAACTTTTTATGTAGTGAGGTCACTTGACCTGACCTGTTGACCTGACCTTCAGTGACCTGGGTCTGGAATTTTCACAACTTATGTAGAAAGGATGTATGATAAGGTGTACCAAAAACGGCGGCGCGAAATTCGCGAAAACCCGTAAGGGGGGTGTTCAAACACCCCCCAGCAGGGCGCGGGTTAACGCTCTTCTGAATATTGTTCTCAGATTTGTCCTAGGGTCAACGGCTTTGCCTGCAGTGGCAAAAACTGCCAAAACTATAGTCGATTTATTGTGAACGGTTATTCTTCAACAACTTTTGACTCAAGCCTTGCACGAGCTCACTTTTACGGGCATCGTGTTTCTCTCGTCAAGACGCATCGAATGAACTATAATTTGAAAGTTGAAAATTTGACCCCAGGTCAAGGTCATCACCTGACCGGGAAGGGTCATGTTGCATATCAGTCGATCTGTATCGTCAAGCTGAACACATCCAAGCCGTTTTCATCGCTCTAGCATGCCTCTGTCAGAAGTAGTTCGCGAAAAAACTGTTAAATACCATTCGTGACCTGAGATGACCTCATGAGCATAAACAGGGGTTACGGATACCATTTTCATGTTCATTGTGTGTTTAAGTTACTTGTTATTCAGTGTTTGGGAGTGTTCATATTGGCTTTTGTCCAAAAGAGGCGCATTTCAATTTTCTCCCATTGACTTTTTTAATGGAGAGGTCGCAAAATCGACCTAACCTTAGGTCATCGATATCAAAATTCTGAGAAATGCAATATGTACATACGATTGCTTTTAGCAATTGCTGAAAGTTTTAAATCGATCAGTCACTCGGTGTAGCTATGGCAGACATTGAAACTTTTTATGAGGTGAGGTCACTTCAAGTGACCTGGTGACCTGACCTTGAATGACCTTGGCCTGAAATTTTCACAACACGTGTGGAATTAATGTATAATAAGGCGTGCCAAAAACGGCGGCGCTCCGTGCCGCCGTTTTTATAGATATTAACGAAAAACCACTTGGGGAGTGTTCAACTGGTAAAAGTATACATAAAGTCCGAGGGACTGTTAACCCGCGCCCAGATGGGTTCTGCCGAGCAACGCGGTCTGATGGGGGGGGGGGCATTTTGTCTCCCCCCCTCAGATCTCGAGAACCACGCAACATAGCGACAAGCGGTAAACGGTGTTCGATAGCCCCAACGGGGAACTACCTTGTGACCCAGTTTCATTGACCTCGGTCAAACCGATGACGTCACAGGTCAGGTCAAAGATCGAATTTTCACCGTTTACAGGCATTTCAAGAAATGCGTTGTAAAATCGAGTAAAATGCATTTCATTGAAAATCATCGATGGGGAAGTGATCTTCAAACACATATTTTGCTATTTGAGGTCACTGATACCAGGTCAGGTCACAGAGGTCAGGTCACTGGGGGGGTCACAATATGAAAGTGTCGTGTGATGCATGTTTTATGGTCCATTTTACATGACAAATGCGATTATGTGGGTTAGACAGACTTTAGGGCCAGCTTAGGTCACGTTTTGGTCAAGGTCAGGTCAAGGTCAGGTCAAGATCAGGTCAAATTAGGTCAAATTTCAAAATTGATATTTTTGCATAAAATGGGTATCGATTCGATGCAGCTCGCCACGGGGAGTTCAATGGTGGTCTCCGTTTTGCGCTACGAGGTCTAGAATTGCTAAAAATGGAGTTGAAAAATTTGACGTCATCAATTTTTAACAGTTTTTTCGCTATAACTTCGCCAAAAAAGAGGTATCGATCTAAAATTTGGTATGTGTATCGAAGAGCGCAGGGACTACCACATATATTCCAGTTTTTCGAAATTCGAAAATTTTTTGGAAATTTTTTGAGTTTTTCTAAAAAAATCATTTTTTTTTATTTTTGGGGGTCAAAATCCCAAAATTTCGAAAATCCGAGATAGCAGTTTGGTAGCGCCGTCTTTTCTCTACACAACCACATAGAACTTTAAAATTACTTGCTAACTGTAGAATTGGTGAGCGTTTCAAGATGTCATGTTTTTTGCTCATTTTTACTCGAACATGACCTCAGTTTGACCTCAATAACTCCTGACCTGGCCCGGTAAGGTACCCCAAAATTTGGTGGCGCTGCGCGCCGCTGTTTTCGCGCTATTTAAGAAAAACCACAGGGGGGGGGGCCAAAATGGCCCCCATCGATAGGCGTTATCACAAGTGTATTCGCGGCCATTGGGGCGACGTAAGAAAAGAAGAAACCAACTGGCCCCAAGAACTTTAAATTATCAGTTAGCATGCACCTTTTCCTTGATGTGTAGATAATTTACCATTATTTGTTACAGAAAATTGCATTTGAAATCTTCCATTTATGCTTTTTTCATCGTTTGCACAATATGTTCTTTTACTAAGCTAGAAACACTAATTAGAAATAGTTCCCGCATCATCAAGAACAATAGGGAAGGCTTGAAGTGAATAAAATAATTTAAACGGTTTTGTAATCTATGTGAAGGCACTTCTAAAATTGCCTGTAGAAATATTGAAGGCAAAAGTTCAACTTTCACAAGACGGATGTCTATAAACCTGTTTAACTTGTGACAACTCAGCCGGTATTTCGTCGCCTACAGCCCAGCTTTCCCTAGTGACCGATAGAGGCGCTGCTATCGATGTCCGCCCGTGCCGCCTAACGTCAGGGCGCGGGTTAAAAGATAGTTTTCACATTCTTACATTATTTGACATCCTGAATCCAAAAATGATGCTTACATGTCTTGGAGAGTCAGCGAGCGAAGCGAGACGTGAAATCAGGTCAAATTACATCGTATAGTGTGCTTTTCATAATCGCACACTATACGGACCTAATCTATACTAATACCTTCAACCCCCCCCCCCCGCCACCTGGGCGCGGGTTAAGTTCTTAGGGAAAATTTAGAAATAGACATAAGTTTGTATTTTGCGTAGAAAATGTCCCATTGGAAAGAGTTTTATCATTATAGTCCATAATTGTGTAATGTGTAACCGTAATATCTTCTCCTAGATATTTGGGAGGCAATGGTGACACATAGAGCACTTCATGGGCCGGATAAATCCGTTATCCACGGATAAATCCGCGGACCGGAGAGGATTGGATTCTAAATTTGTTAAAAAAGAACGGATATGGGCGGGCCGGATTTGGGAGTTGAAGGTTGAACCCGGATCAAAACAGATCAAAATTTTAACATTCAACATTGAAGTTAAAAATTAACCTAATGTGTTAAGCGGCAGCAGAGGTTTGATTAAAGTAATAGGCATCATTTTATGACACTCACTTGTCATAAGACTTGTATGGCTGTCTGGTCCCTTAGATTGAATTTGTTAGTCCAGTTTTGGGTGAAACCAGTTATTGGTGAAACGGATTATTACGGATATTTTTTGGAAGTTTGGCTGCAATACGGGCCATGGGTGGGCCGGATTCTGATATTCAAAGAAAGGCGGATAATGGGCGGATCTGGATATGACTTGCCGGATATGGGCCGGGCCGGATCCTAAAAAGCCTATCCGTGAAGTGCTCTAGTGACACATACCTTGGTCCGCAGTGATTTAGACGGGCCGTCTTGCTGGATCCTTTCCTTCCTTGCCCCCGCGCCGTGTCTTGATAGCCGGTTTCCGACACTCCCTTGGCGTTTCTTGGTTGATTGGTCGTGCCGTGACCGCTGTTCGCCGTCCCCTGGCCTCCACTGAGTAGCGCGGCTGCTGTCGGACCGATTCGGTTCAGGTGGCTGGGTAGTGGCGGCGGAGGGACCATTTTCAGAATGGTCAGCGGAGGGGGGTGCAGCGGTGGAGGGGGGATGGACCTCACCGCCTCCTGGCGCCTCGCCAGCGGCGGCGGAGGCGTGGTTCGAAACAGCTCAATCAGCGTCCCAGTGGCCAGCGACATTTTACATGGCTTTGGTGTCGTCATTCAACTTTATATAGATGATGCGTAATATTATGATTGCTGCTATCTTGTTTTTGAACGGAACAAAGTAAATATTCGAAACATTATCTAAGTTCCTGTTATTACATTCACTGTTTGAAGATAATATTAGTGTTGGCAAAATAAGCATATGGAAATATTTATATTTCAGATGAACAGCACGTGGCATCATTGCAACTCATCTCTCGTGTAGGTAATTACGAGCGAGCGCAGCGAGCGAAGCGAAGTCTTTACAATATAACGGAAAAATCTCAGTATGAGCGGCCCGGCCCGGCCTGTAACGCTTTTGAGAGGCTTATATCTCAGCAACCGCTGGACCGATTAAGCTGCGGTCTTTTTTGCTGGGTAGCCCAATCCCTTCTATCCCGTAATTGACTATGTACTTTTGATACATCTCAGTGACCGACGTGGCACGTGCCACGTGAAAAGTCAAGGGTGTTCAAACTGTTTTGCAAAACTAGTGATTTTGAGAGGGTCATATCTTAGCAGCCGCTTGACCGATTGTCTTGCGGTAATTTTTGTAGGGTGGCTTTGGTGCCAGTTGGTGCCTTTGGTGCCAGTTTATATTATGTTCTGGTGAAGGTCAGGTCAAGCTCAGGTCAAGGTCAGGTCAACTTAGGTCAAATTTCAAAATTAATATTTTTGCATACAATGGTATTGATTCGATGCAGTTCGTCACGGGGAGTTCAATGGTGGTTTTTGTTTCGCGCTTCGTGGCCTAGAACGGCTAAAAAAATGAGTTCAAAAAATTGACGTCATTAATTTTGAACAGTTTTTAGTTTTTATGAGCGAGCGAGCGCAGCGAGCGAGGCGAAGTCTTTTCAATATAAGGGAAAAAATCTCAGTATGAGCGGCCCGGCCCGGCCCGGCCTGTAACGCTTTTGACAGGCTATATCTCCGCAACCGCTGGACCAATTGGCCTGCGGTCTTTTTTGCTGGGTAGCCCCATCCCTTCTACCCCGTAATTGACTACTTTTGATACATCTCAGTGACCGTCGTGGCACGTGCCACGTGAAAAGCCAAGGGTGTTCAAGCTGTTTTGTAAAAGTAGTGATTTTAAGAGGCTCATATTTCAGCAGCCGCTTGGGTGATTGTCTTGCGGTAATTTTTGTAGGGTAGCTGCATCCCTTCTACCAAAGGTCGGATACTCTTGATCTATGTGAGTGATCCCCACTGCACGTGCAAAATGCAAAAAGAAGAGGTGCCAAATTTTTTCCCATTTCAATAACTCGGTAATCACTGGGGCGATTTTGCTGAAACTTGGCATACATGTAGGCACCCACCAGACAATGCAATGTGCATTCCCATTTCCCATGTGTTGTGGTTAGGGTGCTACTGCACGTGCGCACGTGCAGGGGGCGCTTCTAGATCACGAGAACGGCTGGGCCGATTGCGCTCAAATTTGGTACACAGTTGGGGACCGGTTAATAGGGTGCCGTGCAAAAGTCCGTTTGGACCCCGTTTGCACGTGCGCACGTGCAGAATGCCGTTTCCAGATCTCAGGAACGGCTGGGCCGATTGCGCTCATATTTGGCACACTGCTAGCGACCGGTTAAAAGGGTGCTTTGCACAAGCCCGTTGGAAGTACCCTCTCGCCATTCCGCACGTGCAGGGCTCCTCGCTCGCTCGTTCTTCGCCCAAAAGGCGTTTTACTGGTTCGCTAAAACTTGGCCAAAACAGGAGGTTTCGATCTCAAATTTGGCATGTAGTTGGAAGATCACAGGGACTATTTGTTATTTCCTTTTTTCTAAATTCGAGACACTTTTTGATTTTTTTTTGCGTTTTCTTAAAATCAACTTTTCTTATTTTTTGGGTCAGAAATAAAAAAAAACTGAAAATCCGAGATAGCAGTTTTGTAGCGCCGTCTGTTGTCTACATAACCGTATAAAGAACTTTGAAATTGCTTTGTAACTCTAGCTGTTGTGAACGTTTCAAGATTTCATGTCTTTTGCTCATTTTTGTTCGAACATGACATCAATTTGACCTCTCTCCTGACCTAAGTTGACCTAAGACTTGAAATTTTGTGCAAAGGTGACAATTTGAAACCCGGGAAGGTACTGAAAACTTGGCGGCGCTGCGCGCCGCCATTTTCTTTCTATTCAGGAAAAACCACAGGGGGGGGGAATTGGCCCCCCCAGCGGGGCGAGGGTTAACAAGGCTACAAACCTGCTATCTCGGATTTTTGCACGTTTTGAATTTAAACCCCCAAGATGAAAAAGCGATTTTCTGGATATAATACCCCCAAAATACCTTTGTTCAGAATATAATGTTATACTCGTAGAACTATTGGTCTGCTATTGATTTGCCAACTTTGAGCTCGACAGCTCCATTTTCTCAAAGTTATGGCGATAACACTGCTTAAAATTTATGACTTAAACTTACGAGCTCAATCAAACTCATCAATCAAGCTCAATCAAGCTCGTATCAAGCTCAATGTTTAGCCTTTAGGCTAAAATGTATAGACTATAGACCACGCAGAGCCAAAACGAAGACCACTATTGGATTCGACGTGATGATGAGCGGCATCGAATAGACACCCTTTTTATGCAAAAATAACAACTTTGAAATTTGACATTTTTTTACCTGACCTTGACCTGACCTCCACCAGAACGGAGCCTAAGGCGGCCCTAATGGTCGTGTAACCCACATCATTGAATTTGAAATGTAGCACGGCGCATCTGCGACTGAAAGCGACTAATGGAGGCCCGCGGCGTTTGTGGACATTCTCCCTTCTGCGGATGTTCGCCATTGTCTTCCCAAACGCTGAGCTGTCGGATGACATTTATTTGGCGACTGCTCTCAGGGGCAAATACCGTGGGCTGCCGCGATGACGCTGTCTCTATATTTGTGGACCCTGTTCACAGTGAGTTAACATGGCGTGTGTTACACCGCTGTTATCCCGTACCAGCCGCGTGTTACCGCCGGCCTAACGCGGCCTAACGCGTCGGACTGACGTCTCAGCGCCGGCCTTACGCGCGCTCTGTTCACCGATTGGTGGTTGAGCCGCCCGGCGGCGGCAACAGCCGGCGGCCGAACACGACCGGCCGCACCGTGAGCCGGTGTGACGTCACCGGGCGACCCGCAGCCACCGGTGTGACGTCAACGGGCGGCCCGCAGCCACCGATGTGACGTCACCGGGCGACCCGCAGCCACCGGTGTGACGTCACCGGGCGACCCGCAGCCACCGGTGTGACGTCACTGGGCGACCCGCAGCCACCGGTCCCGGGCCCGGACACACGCTCACACGGTGGCAGGGAACGAGCGACGCAGAGTTTGATTATTGCTGCACTTTAGCTCATTTGCTACCTAATACACCAATCACACCGCGATTCTATCTACCTTCAGCCCCAAACGGCATCACCGAGCATATATTGACGTAAAAATGGCGCTGATAGATATACACTGTTAGAGGTTGTTCTTATCTGAGTCATAAAACCTACTACACACTACATACACAGGCACTTCTAAACGTGATGGTGGAAGACGGTTTGTCGTCGGCGCTGCATTTGATGTGTGTGTAGGCGGGTGGAGCCCGACAGGTGGTGAGGTCGAAAACAGCACGGATCTGTGGTTGCTCTGCCACGATCTGTCACATGCGGCAGACTGTCCCACAGACAGACTCTCCAGACAGACTGTCCAGACAGAGAGCTCCGGACAGTGTCCTCCGGACAGCAAGTTCCGGACACACATAGAGAGTTGTCCGGACTGCGTCTCCAGTGAGGTGCACGTAGGGAGTCTCCGGACGGAGTCGCACGGAATAAATCTCCGGACAGAGAGTTGCCCGGATAGCGTCCGGCTACACTGAGAGAGCTGCCAGACGAGTGATGCCAGGTGAGGGCTTCCAGACAGGTGATGCCAGACGGGCAGGCCGGTTGTGTTGCCTGGTGTGAACTTCATGTTCCATGTTCTGTCCTAGGCTGCAACACACCAAAAGGAGCATGTCAAGATCGAACACATTCCATAAAGCGCATACCTACTGAGAATGGCACTTGTGCTGCGGCAAGGAAAAAATAGTGCAGTGTCTTATTTTCTGTCTTTCCACTGCTGATTATAAGAAAGCCATGTCATAGGTATTTGGACGTGATAGAAATTACGTGAAACAGTAGGTATATAGAACAGTCTTATTGGTTATCATTTCTTTAGCTGAAGCAAACCCTATGAACAAACCAACCTACATACCTTTGAAATTGTGTCAAAGCAAGCAAATGACCAGAAGTCCCTAACAAGGAAGTCGTAATCAAACATCTTGTAAAACAGGGGAATAGCTGAAAGGCTCACCCCTTCCCACGTAGGGATGCAGATATGACTGAAAACATTTCTTTGCGATTATTTTGATCGCTGTGTAAGATGGGAACTATACCACTTACATACCCGACGTTTCATTCAAACCCTCGCAACATGCAGTCAAATACCATACCACGACCGCCCATAGTGCAGTCAAAATAACCATTCACCCTTTTCCAGTAGCTATCAGTCATTCCAAGTCCAGGCGCGACACAGTCAGTCAGTAGACAGTCACAAGTCACAAAGTTCCCGCAGAAAGTCCCCAGTCTGTACGACCAGTCTGAACCAACGGTGACCGTCCAGTGTGCCATTTCTGATGCATGTTGGTGTGTTGTAACGTTCTTGTATAATGTAAATTGTATGCAGTTGCAGATGTAAAATACGCCGCGAAGTTCATTGTAGTGCTTCACGAGTTACCAGTGTGCCGTGAAAAGTATTTGAAATAGCTGAGCCGCGCAGCCTGGTGAGAGCAGCCTGCTGCACATGCGTCGTTACCTTCTACGCCGCTGGCCGAAAGGCGCGCCTCCCCACGAGTGGTTTTCCGCTACCGACAGATGGCATGGTCGTCGCTGTCGGCTGCCATTGGCCACTGAACTGTGACGTCTCGCCGACGCGCTGCTCTGCGCTCTCTGATTGGCTGCCACCCTGAGCGGCCACGCCCACTCGGCTGACCTCCGGGCTGAAGGACACCTGTGACCGCTCCGGGCGCCCGACAGCGTCGCTTGGCGGCGGTGCCAGCAGCTCCAGAGTCAGCAGCCCGTCCGGCCTCACCACCACGCCGTCCACGAGGAAGGCGCCGGCGCGATGGGCGTCCCGCCGCCGCCGGAAGTCGGCCAGTTCCGGCGGCGGCCGCAGCGCCGCCCCCGCACCTGTCACACGCGCGATACTGGCCTCGATGGAAGAGCGGATGGAGTCGGTATCGAAGCCGGATCCCAGCTGCTGCGCTAGCGACGGCCCTGTGCCAGAGTCCGCAGAGTCGGGGTCGGAGGTACCGGATCCCAGCTGCTGCGCTAGCGACGGTCCTGTGCCAGAGTCCGCGGAGTCGGCGTCGGAGGTACCGGATGGGTAGAGACCAGGCGAGAGCAGCTGGTCGGAGGGACCGCGGGGCCGGCCCGGCTGGGCGGACTGGGGGCCCCTTCCTGCTGCGGAATAGGGGCCCCTCCCCGACGCTGTGCTGCTGCCATCCGGGCCCACTATAACGGAAGGGAGCCCAGCGGCCCCGCTAAGGCCAGTGCCGTAGTCTGTGTCACGCTGACGCTGAGGCCCGGAGCCACTGTAGGAGACTGTGGTTCGCAGTTCTGGCGACTGCGTCCGTGGCGCACCGCCAGTAGTCTCCACTGTTGAGTCTGCGTATCCAGAGGCCGAGATCTTGTCCGCGGTAGCACTGTCCCCTGCTGAATAGACCCTGGACCCGCCCCCGACTTCCGGTCCTTGGAGAGGGACGTACGCGCCGCCGGTCAGCGCTCCCACCGCGCCGCCAGCCTGTCTGCCTTGGTGCCGAGACCCGGATGTTTGCGTGAAGCTGGAGGTGGATGCGGGGTAAGTGACATATGTTTGCGCCTGCGGTTTTGCTGTGTCATCACCGGAGTCGCTACTGATTGGCCCAGTGCCGGTACGAACTGATGACGTAACACTGTACCTGTGGGAAGGGTCCGGAGAGGGTTGTCTCTGGGAGTTAGTGCCGGGGGTCAAGTGCGAATAGCTGGAGGATGCGTGAGTGTTTCCCTGCAGCTTGTGAAGCTGTCCGCCGATTTTTGGAGTCCAGTAGGTCTGGGTGCTGGTATGTGGAGCTGGAAAGGCCTGGCTGCTGGTATGTGAAGTAGGGTAGGTCTGGCTGCTGGTATGCGGAGCTGGGAAGGCGTGGGGCTGTACTTGGCTGATCCCACTGGGACCTAAGTAAGTACTGCCGCCGCTGTGTGAAGTTGCGGAGCTCTGATTGTGGCCCTGCGGCGGGGGGTGTTTCTGACTGTCGGGTTGCGATTCCGTGTGGGTGCGTAGGCTTGTGCGTTTTCCTGAGTAGTTGTTGCTGTCGGTGGGGCCCCGGAGGGCAGGGCTCAAAAAAAGGTCTCCGTGGTTGTCGACGGACACTTTAAGGTCGTGGGGTGGTTGTTCTGATCAAATGCAAAGATATGCAGTTTTTGAAACCCGCAAATGTGCTAAAAAGCGCCTTCTGACACAGGTAGGGATTCTGAATTTCAAAAACCTCCAATTTCGTGTGGAAACGACAATTGTGAATTTCTGAACAGCTACCAAGTTTCAAACCACTCGATTCTAATAGAAGATAATGCGTTTCATACTTTTTGGATCAATCCAGGTAACTAAGCCGGCCAGCCCCTCCCCCCCCCCCCACACACACCTTTCACATAAATAATCGTCTAAAACGACTCACCCGCAACACTCATATGACATTATCGGCGAATCACATGATTCTGACCTTATATATTGTGATAATATACGCGAGCAAAACATCATAAACATTTTTAAGTGTACAGGTACGAAGCCACTCATATATCTAGTTCTAGCATTTCGGTGCTAGCAGCGGTGTCCTTTCCCCGCAATAAAGCACTTTTGAGAAATGCTACATCGTCTAGACCAGGCAGGGTGTTGGAGTGCATCTCCTGCGACATGTCAAACTCCTGACGACGAAGATTACATCACCTAATAAAATCGGAATTCGAACATTCACCCAAAACAGGACAGACCAAAACAAAATATGGCAACATTGCGACAGCTTACAAACAATCGAGGTGATACAAAAGCATGTGAGCTGATTGTTGTGCGACCGGCCGCCAGTCCGCTGTGCGGCCGGTGGACAAACGTATCTGACCCTGGCGGTGAGCTCGAACACACCGAAGTGAAATACATAAATGCGTGTTGAGGCTAAACGCATCCATCCAACGGCCAGTGTGCAGAGCGAACTCTGCAGGCGGACCAGCGGGTCCCGACACAACGAGCGCTACCCTGCAGCAGGTGTTCTTACAGCAGACTGGTGTTCGATTCACCCGTGATTGAATCGATTGGATTGAATCAAAGAAAAGTTGCTGAATCGAAAAGGTTTGATTCACCGTCCGGATTGTTCGATTCACAAACCATGATTGAATCAAACGCATTGGGAATCAGGGTTGATTGAATCAAACAAAGTAACGATTCATGAACTTAAACTACTGCCAGTGCCATGTGATGATAATTGCATGACAATTAAAAAAGAAAACAAATACAATACCCTGAATCAGGGATCCTTTTCATCTAATCGAAAAATAATCGTTCAATAACTTTTTGGCTGAATCAAACGTGAATCATTCTTTTTTGCTTTCGCTTCTCTGAATCAAAAGGAACCGATTCACCTTTTTTAAGAAATCGAACGGTGATTGAATAAAAACAAAATCAAATGAAATAATGAATGAATCGATCCGAAAAGGGTGAATCAATAACCAGTCTGTCTGACAGTTGAGTTGGAGTGAGGGTTGCTGCATTGCCCGTCAATGTTTCGATTTTTCCAGCCGAAACGAGGTTACATAGCAGACATGGCACGGATCCCAAGACAACCAATCACGAAAACTGAGATGGCCAGATTGGCCGTCTTCAAGCCTGGAATTATGGTGGAAAATGTGACTAATAGAAGCCTTTCAATGAATCAACCATTTTGCTTTCCCTTAGAGTAATCAGTTCTGAGAAAATCGCTCCAGATCCACTGACGGTCCCGTAGCTCAGTCGATAGAGCGTTGGACTCCGCGTGGTGAGAGCACGCGTTCCCGGATACAACAGTCCGGGCTCGAAGCGCTTGGCGTTTATGGGCCTCCTGACAGGTATGGTTGCGGTTGGTGGCAGGCCGTAGCCAGGCGAAGTCAGTGAGGGGACCGGCCGTGCGCGGCTTTGTGCGCACGTTAAACGTTGGAATCTAAATTCTGCCATAGAGCCGGAATAGCGCGATCGGAGGGTAGAGGGCAGGGTCAACGCAACAAGCTTCGCTTAGCGGGGGCTCTGTCCCTGTGAACCCTTCCAATCAAAAGGTTCGGACTAAAATTAAATTTATAAAAAAAAATGGCCATCTCAGCTTTCGTGATTGGTTGTCCAGGGCTCCGTGCCATGTCTGTTACATAGAACACCTGAGGAGTGCTGTCGGATTGTCAATCAATCTCGATAGATAAATGACCTGGCACACCTCTCCCGCTTGTGCCGCGCTATGACCCTACCCTGGACTTGTTCGCTGAACGATGCTCGAACGAAGTTGTCCAGATGAGGATGTTTTTTCAACACAGCATTTATCAGCCAGTCCGCTTGGGGAACGTTTGGCCCATTCCACCGGATGATGAGCTCGTTTTCCGCACTTTCGTGGTTTAAGCCTCTCGCTTGTTGAGTTCCGAACACGGCTTTTACGGCACTCGCCATGCTCTCCACCACACTCTCAGCTGGGGAGAGCAGCCAGAGCCTGGTGACGATCGCCAGGTATGCTGACAGGCGCTGGTCTCCATCCGACCAGAGGGTCTTGAACAGCTTTTGATTGGAACCCGGCTCAGTCATTCTGAGTTTTGCGTACGTCGCCATGATCGAGTCCCAAGGGACATCTCCTTTCGGGATGATCCTCTCGCGCTGCAGGCGTTCGATAGCCTTTCCCACCTCGGAGACGATACCT